AGTGTTCCGCCTCTCGGAAAGAATGAAATGCGGGAGGGATTTTTACTTTTAGTAGCATTTACCTGAAAGGTAGTAACCAAAACAGTTTTTCAAAGTTGCCCTGCTACTACCGTATTGTTTTAGCAAAGAAAGATAATGCTGTAATGGTATAGTAGAAGTAAGGAAATTAACGCACTACGATGGAATGGAAACTGCAGATGTTGCCAGGCATTACTCTTAAAAGCTAAAATTTCTCAGCCGAATATACTGTCATTGTTCTTTTTTCTCTCACATTCAGCGGAGCTACTTTCAGTCTCTTAATCTGGAGAAATCGAAAATTGAGGAGCAAGTTTCGTCAATTATTAAAGAGCGAGAGAAATTTTTGCTAGAAAATCAGAATCTCTCAACAGTAACGTGTCAACTGAAGAATCGACTTTTGGAAATCGAAACTAAAACCAACTGCATTTTAGCCGAGAAAGAACGTGTTGAAGCAATGTGAGTAACTCCGCTTCCGATATTAGCTCTTGTGGCCCACTTTTTCAACGAAATTCAATTTTTTTCAAATATATAGGGTCCTGCAATGAACTTACTGCCAGACATGTAATTCGTACGGACGGTCTTTCAAAAAGTGATTTAACACTAATACTAATGAGTGAATTTTATTTATAACATGACAACTTATTTGTGTCAATTTGCTTCTAAAATTAAGTTTTTCTTTCAAACTCAGGCTCAGACTGAACGAGAAAAAAACGAATGATTTGGAGAAGGAGCGTGAATATTACAATAATCAAACGATGGAGCTTCTTAACTCACTTAAGGTAAGCACTTGAAGCTAAATATATTACAGAAATCAAAGACTGGTACCCACTGCTCAAAAGCTAGGATTTCACTTAAATCTGGCATTGCTTGAAATATTTCTTATAAAATGTTTCAGCTTTCCACTTAAACTGAGAGATCTTCAGTTTAGGTGAAAAACTTATTACGCCAAATTTTGCTGCATTTCGAAACAGCCTGCTTGAATCTGTTGTTAATAGCTTAAAAT